CATTCACTTTGAGGGGCGGGAGATTCATGTGATTGGTTGTTGGTCGAGCTTCAGACACGCCCGCCGGCAAGCTTTTTCCAAAGCCACTGTGTGGACGGGCCGTTACTGTTTAGAATAGCCAATCTTGTGGAAAGCTTCTCTGTGTCTTTGTCTAAATACACTGAGTCTTTCCATGTCAACCTTCTCTTCTCCGTCCTGAGATTTAATCTGAGATGGCAAATCTTAACTGGAATCAAAATGTATGCAATGCTGCCTGGTTCATGAGTAGACTACTTGGAGAATGATTTATCCGAACATCCATTAGTGCTTACATTAGCATCCAGCATAGGGTGTCTGGCTCTCTGAGTAAGCGGAGCACTTTGGCATTTGTTAAGCCTAGTGATGTAAACTAAAGGCTTCGGTCATAAATGCATTTTCTAACTTTAAACTTGGAAGATACCAATTAGTATCTGCAACTGTCCACATCCGTAATATAACTGCAGTAATCATTTTACCACTCTGTAGGTTGCTGTTTATTCATTACCTTCACACTGAGCTGATAGAAAACAATTTCCTTCGCCTTTTTTTTAGGCTTTACACATATGGGGTGATAGATAAATGACACAAAAATGTGAATATTTCTGAACCAATTCTATACTGGCAGCGATTAACATTTTAGACACTTTTTAAGAATGAAATGTAAATATATATTTGCTCATTTTCAGGTGTATATTTGTATTTTGTGACTCTATTGTGACATGTTGACATGCATTGAAGTAAAAAAAAAAAGGCTTTATTTTTCTCATTCCTGTGCAGCAGCAACTCTTTTAAGCCTCTGTTTGAAACCAGAGCCCAGTCCCCATTTGCACAGCACTGCATGTCTTATTCATGGCACAAAGGCTGCTCTTAAGATCAAGCGGAAACCTTTGCATATAATATTTCTTTAAAAAATACGATTAGTTCCACCAGTAAGGTGTATAACCGCCATCATGTCACACAGGCTGTTTCACTTCATGTATTCTTTAATTAACTGAGATGATTAAAAGGAAATGTGAAAATGACAGTGGACTACATTTTGCACCTACACACTATAATTCGTGTAGAATCTGAGCACCATCAGTTTCAATATAACCTTAGCTGGATGAGGTGAATTAGTAACTGATATCTCTTTGTGTAACCACCCCTGCCTCGACTCTGATGTGACTTATTTTACTCTGTGACTCATAAAGATTCCCAGAAACCTCAGAGCTCATTAGACCAGCATTCTTTTTTTTCTCCTCTACGACTGATTTGTACAACTTCAAGGAAAGAGCAGAGGAAAAAAAACACGCCCAGAGAGACTGAGTTTGCCACCTAAAGCTACTGTAGTGCTCTGCAGTGCTGGTTCCATGCCAACCAGCCCTAAGCTGTTTACATCCCCAAAACTTCCACAAAGAAACTCTGTATGGGGAGGCACTAACAAAATATGTCAGATTATTAAACAAACATTACCTCTGAGCGGTGCACATCACAGAGGGACTGGTAGAGGAGAAATTCTACACTACCGACAATGTTTGGATGTGATGGCAACCCTAATAACTATTGTGTCAATGTACCCCATAGAGAATTATCACACAGCATTTTACATATTTGGAGTTCTGTGGGCGTAAATGTATTCACACTCACTGCTCTTACTAAACCTGTTTCTACTCTACCATCCCAGCATCAGATGGCAGGCAAGTGGAGTTAGCGACCTAGTAGCATTTAAACATATTTCCATCATTAATTGGTGGAGACTAAATCAGAGTTAAAAATGAAGTGAATATTGGACTTAAATTAGTCAGGTGGCCAGAGACACAACTCCATATAAGTGCTAATGTTGCTCTGAGTCTTCTAGATTTGCAAGTAGGGAAATGTCAGGGTGATTATGCGCTGATCTACCAATCGAAGGGTCAGCGGTTCAATCCCCAGTCCCTCAGCATTTACTCAACATCAAAATTGTTCACTTAGTCATGACTACTTTATTGAAGTGTACATACTCTATGTCGCTTTGGATAAAAGCTTCTGCTAAATAACATGTGATGTAATAAGATAATAGTATTTCATTTTTTTTATTGAAGATTTCCAAGCCACAAAAGAGTTCAAAAATATATCAATACAACTTTAAAAGATCAGTAACTAAAAGATATGCAAGGATGTTTTTCAAAAGCAGGACTGAAGAGCAAATCATTTGCTTTTATTCTCTATTTTAAGAGGTGCATTCAACATAAATTGGCCTCCCTTCATGGAACATTGACCATTCAAAAATCATTTTAACATTAACATCAGTTTAATACATAATTCAAAAACTGGTTCTTTTTCTGACAAAATCAATACAAAGGTTTGACTGTTTTTCTGTGTTTGGTGTCTATAAGTGTGAAATGCTGCCTGTACCTTATAGACTATATGTGTGATGACCTTCATTTGTGCAGTTGCAGTGTCCTTGGTGTGCTCACTCATAATCATGGGCCATTACCTCTATTATGAAGATAAATTCTCACACACACACACACACACACACACACACACACACACACACACACACACACACACACACACACACACACACACACACACACACACACAGTGAATTAAGGAATAAAGATGAACCTTTGACAGTGGATACATCATCATTTTTTACAGCAAATGTCGATCGTTAGCTAAACTTCTCTGAATAGTCCAATAGTAGCAACAATAACTAGGCATGGCAGTCCTATCCAAATGTGTAATTGATGTAAATGACACCGAACTGTCTTCTTTAGAATTTCCGAATATAAAAAGTTTAAGGAATAGATTAAACATTTGCTCAGTAGTAAACGTTTACATGTCTCACAACAGTACTTACAGTGGCATTGCTTACTAGCCCAAGGGTTAGCTTTATTGTATTTAAATAAACCCAATCCCTTGACAATTGGAGATTTGAAAAAGAGTCAGGTTTACCTTTTTTTTAACCTTCTTCTCACTAGTGCTAATGTTGAAAAGTAAGCATTAGCCATTAGTTTAAGCTAACCAAAGCCAGTGACTAGCTTATGTTTCAGTTTCAAACATTTAGAAGTAAGTTAAAAAGGTCCTTCTTTTGTTAAAACATTACCCAAGAAATGTGAGTGGCACCTTCATATTTGCCATGTGAGATTGAAGAGTTTGACAGACATTACAACACTTACAAAGAAGAGTGGAGGTTGAAAACGGTCAGTTGATCTTCACTGTGTAACTTTTTTTTCCTTTTTTTTCTGTCGCTAATATGCAGACTCTACGGCGAGCTAACAAACTGCACATTCCTGGTGGCGCAGAAGATGGACTGCTTCTGGCCCAACAGACTGGTGGATGAGTTCTTTATCCGAGTCCACCAACACTACTTCCATGACTGCTCGCTGTCTGGACGGCTTCTCCAGGACCCGCCAAATCGCATCCTGGGGCCCTTCATTGCAGTGCCCATCCTGGTCACCCTCCTCATGACGGCCTTGGTGGTGTGGAGGAGCAAGCGCAGTGAGGGGATTGTGTAGTGAAGGGAAAAGGGGGCCAGGGTAACAGAACTCAAAACAAGAGGTACTTGTTGTCGCTAAGGTTTCGTCATATTCAACCCTCAGTGGCCAAAGAGTCTCTTTTTCTTGGTGGATATCAATATCAATAGGACCAGAATCACCTCACTATGGACCTGGAAATGGATCCGGTTTATATATTTAAAATCAGTGACATTGATTTCGATAATTTCTTTGGATAACCGAGTGAAGAGAAACCAAACTGTGCTCTTGAATCTGATGTGGACCAGGTGTATAGTGGAAAAATGTTGTAAATAATAAAAAAAACCTTTAATGAATGACACTGCTTCAAATAATCGTGGCTTCGGTGATGATGCCAAAACTCACACAAACAACTATTTTTGGAGACCAAGAAAGTAACTGTTACATACAAGACAGGCTACGAATTGACAGTTACTCCAACTTCTCTAAAGGAACCCAGGTATATCACATGTTATGTGTAAATATACATATACTGTAAATATACACAGTGTGTACAACAAGGGATGCAACTGTCAGTGAATGGTCAGAATATCTTTATAACACATAGTCAAGAAACCCTATTACACTAAATTAATTTCTATCGGATGCAAATTCTGTGTTTCCATGTCATGCAAAAACACCCCCTTTTAACACATGTGCATTATTTGGAATATACTGTATCATCTTTATCATGCAGATGGATTATAGTCACACATTCAAGATACAGTGGGAGAAGAATCTGTCTGTTTTTAGTTTTAATACTTAATTTCCCCTGCTCATATCAGACCTCATGCCCACAATCTACTGTATAGGCATACCCAGAGCTTAGTCTCCCTCTGAATGGGAAACGGAGATAGGTTTCTGCTGCATATTGCGAACTGATCCAGCTGGTGGAAAAATGCAGGAGATAATGATGTCACATACTGAGGATTGGCAGGTGTGTGATACAGGTGAAAAACAGCATGCCACCGAGAATACTGTCACTAGGGTCAAGGCCCCAATTTGGAGGGACTATAATGACGGCTTTCCTCCTCCACAACCAAAATGAAGAACTGCCAGCAAACACACGGGTGGATGAAGCTGAAAGCAGAGACTTTGAAGGCCAAGGTAAATAGTGCAGAAATTTGGGGACTGCAGACAGCTAATTAACCAAAACATATCACAGTCTTTCTGATTTTGCTCCCTCACACACACACCTCTCCTATCCGTGTTTACCATTATATAAAGAACAAACAGTAGGAAAATCACAAGTCTCACTACAGAGAGAACATAAAGCGATGGATTAGCCAACACACATCTCTGCTTAACACTGCCTAAAGCACAGTTTGTGCATCATGGACCTTGGGTTTTATTGATTTGTGATCTCTCCGTTTGGAAGAGTGCGCTGCGAGAACGGTTTTCTCATTGATATTTTTGAATGCTCTCTTTCCTTTATATATTCATTGACCTGTAACCTGCTTGTCAGCATAACACTCTAAAGCACACTTACACAACATGATCTTACCTTTTACTTTGTGCCAAATTCTCTTGGAAACCGGGCAATGTTCGCTTTGAAATATCAAATTTTCTGTTGGAGTGACTTTGAATTATTGACATTTAATCTATGGTCATGACAAAAGTTGAATAAAACGTCTGATCACTGTGTCTGATACACTTGGGATTGGTATTTATTAATAACGACACATATTTTTCCCAACTACTTCATGTCTGATAAAAAATACTAACTTGTCCTCTCAAAGCAAAAGTCCTAAATCCTTTTGGTTGCAGTGTGATGTCGGTTGAATTTTCTTTGTTGTGCAGGTTGGTTAGCTTTGTGTAGGATGGAGAAAGCCTGTTGAAATAACAAGTCAAGTGGAATGTCAATAAAGACAAGTCTATGTCAACTGTCAAGTCAAAGGTCAAGTCAATGGAAACAAGTCAAAGTCAAGTACCAAGTAATTTGAGACAAGTCTAAGGGAAGTCATTTGAGACAAGATTAGGTCAAGGGTTGAGTAAATCGAGAAAGGTCTCAGTCCAGGATTAAGCATTTGAGACAAGTAGAAATCAAGTGTCAGTCACTCCAGAAACGTTGAACTCTACTCATAGTCATTCAAGACTAGTCTACAGTATGTCAAGCAATTATTAATTTGAATCTATTCTAACACGACTGTCTCAAGTCATTTTAACTAAATCCAAATACATCGTTAAATCCCAGTCAAGTGTCAAATCCTTCAAAACGAGTTTCAAATGAAGTCATGAGTTCATTAGGGTAATTTATTAAAATGACCTTCAATCATATCTTTACACTTCTCTGCGTCAATACTGTCCTTTCTATAGCGCTGACTGAGTATTTTCATGCAAGGTTTTATGCTGCCCTATTTTTCTTTTCCTGGGATTTTACCAGTCAAGTCTTGAATATTCTTGAATTCCACCCTGCAGCTGGTCGTAAGATTGCTATTGCAGTGATTAGGACTCTCACAACAGGCTGATTTTTACATGTAACTTTAAAGAAAGTAACCGTACATTGCCTGCGACATGGATTTTTAATGAGAATGTTTAGGCATTGCACCACTGTCTGTTGCAGAGGTAGAACTCACTTAACAAAGTAAACTTGTGTTTAAACCCCGAGCCTGTTTTTCAGGTTTCAGGCTCGAAAATGACATTCCCAGAACAAATGACCATATCTTCCCTTCTAAAAGGGTTAAATTAATAATCTTTTTTCTCAAAGTAATGATAAACCTGTCAGTTGGAGGTAGAAAAGTCAGATTCAATATAGATGTTTTTATTTTAAAGAAAATTCAGATTGAACATGGTAAAAAAACTTTAAATTATAGTGTCCGTCCAAAAGATATTTTGTACTTATAGTGAAAACTAACCTTGGATGATGGGTTAGTAGACTAAAAGCTTTAGGAATCCAAAGTACAACATATAATAAGTACCCTGTATCAAGATTGATGCAAAACAAGTGATATTTGACCTTTTTAGACAGATTTAGCACAACAAAAAACCTCTTCTGGGGCCATTTGGGTGGATATCTCATATCTCTGGCTCCCCCTGCTGGATTTTGACATGTGACATCTCTTTCTAACCGTCAGAGCCAATGGAATCGAGGGGAACTCCCACATAGTCCTTATTTGGTCATGTGTGTGTATTAAACTGCCGCAAAGCAAAGACCGGAAGTAGCAGCCACTCTGGTGGCTACCATTAGCAGCTAACTTTTGCTCTCCGATATTTACATAAAAATTGAATTATGGATTATAAATGAAAATAATGATTACACAGACACATTATCAACCTATGGATTAACCGATTCAGCTGCGTTTTTTCTCGTTTTAATGCCATTGAACACGTCTTTTGATCAGATTAACAGCTACGGTGAGACGATCNTGAGCAATGTTCAACTTTTGAAGCTTCTGAAGCTTCTGAAGCTTTTGGTGGAAGCGTCAGCCAATCAAATCATATGCCAGTACTAGCTCTAGCCAATCATTGATTGGCTAGAGCTAGTACTGGCATATGATTTGATTGGCTGACGCTTCCACCAAAAGCTTCAGAAGCTTCAGAAGCTTCAAAAGTTGAACATTGCTCAACTTTTGCAGCCTGAAACGCCAGGAAAGCTCCGCTCTGCTTCCCACAATGCAGTTTGGCGAAAAGTGACGTCACCCCATTCAAAGTGAATGGGCAGAAGCGTTGGAAGAAGCTTCCAACGCCGCTGTGTGGACGGGCCGTAACAGAGTTTGTGGCCCTGTCTCCCATTTTAAATCACTTTAGATGTCCTGATAAACTTATGCTGGCCTTTAACATAACATTCCTGTTTAAAGGTTAAAGCAGTCTCCAAATTGGGAAGGTGGATCAGAAAGGAAGTGCAGAACTCCACTGCATATTTCGCCTCGGATATTGGAGAAAAGGTGTCTTTACACTTTTACTAACGGTTCATAGCCTCAACATAGATGTATAATGTATATAAAACATGGCAAAACCCAGTTCCAAAATGACGTTCCATGGAGGGAAACCAGCTCATGCTGTGAGTTTCAGGAAAGTAACAATCTTTCTGATCCACTAAACGCATGGACCGTCCATCCTGCCACAAGCAGAATCCTCAAAAAGTGATACTGCATTATGTCACAAAAGTTATACAAGGATACAGGAAAAGACGAGGGGTCTCTGAGAACCAAGTATATCGAGCTGTGTGTTTGAATATTTATGCTAATATTTGAGTTTTTCTCTTTCCTGTCTGCAAATACTAAAATCCCAAAGTTCCCTACCAGAAGGAGTTTCTCTCCCACACACAATCCCCCCCTGCCTGAAGCGCCTCCTTTGGACTCCTTTGTTTACGCCGACATAGTGGCATCACTACGTAACACTCGTGTTTCTATTGGCTAGCGCTCCAAAATAAGTTAAATAATAGGCTAATGGGTGGGACATCTCTAAGCAGTTGACCAATCACAACAGAGCCAGCCAGCTAACCAATCAGAGCAGACTGGGCTCTGTTTTCAGACAGAGGGTAAAAAGGGGTGCTGCAGCACAGGCAGTATGATAACCATAAAGACCTTTTATACATTGTGAACATTTCAAAGTAGAGGCAAAAATATACAAATATGAAACCTGAGAACTGGTTACAAATGTTTTCTCCTGTTGTGAGTGCAGTTGTTGTTCCTTTTACTACTTTGCTAGGAGAGTTGTCAGATTGCATGCATTGTTAAGTTTGTGCATGCTGTGCCCACTCTCATGTCAAGTGTTTGTTCAACAAAAATCCCAACAAGTGTGTGGGAGTTGAAGTACGCAGTAGCGGTGATACAAAAAAAGGTGTAGAAGAGTTCTGTGAAATGATGTTTGGAAATGACTTCACAGCTTGTGAATATATTAGTTTTCAGGTTGTTATCGAAAGGTGCAAACATCAATGAAGTATCTTCACAGAACTAATAGGTATGTGAGCAGAAAATCAGCTCATAACCAGTTCATAATGTAACGACAAGGAGGACAAACAGAGATTTATAGAAATATAGAGATGCTGACATGCATGATCAATGATGAGTTAGAGACGGGAAGCCTCATTGACTAAACTTGTTGAACCTCAGCCTTGAAATATCTTTTTTTTAATAAATAGACTAATTGCATGCTGTCATCTGCTGGCTTTTAATATGTCATATCCGCTGAAAAAGAAACGTAATTAAAGTGTAGCCTTGATGTTATGCTTGATGATGCCCTTTTGACAACCCTTGATTATTTTTATATTTAAGAGTAGTTCATATTTAGCAGTGTTAAACCATCTATGAAAAAACCATCAGAGTGGCAAACATCTCTGGGGAAGCACAGGGGGTTCCAGGAAAAATAAATGCAGTTGTCTGACAAAAAGTTGAACGACACTTTTGCTGCATATACCTGCAAGGTCGAATTATTACTTTTGAACAATAACAGAATATTACTGCAGGGCTGCCTTGTAGCTACCATTGCATGAAAATAAAACTTAAAGCTCACCTATTATGCTTTATTTGAACAATATATTATAGGGCCATATCTACAAAACACGTCTCTGAAGTGTTTTGCTCAAAATACCAAACAGATCACCCATTCAAGCCCTGCCTCATACCCATGGATGTATAGAGTGGCGAAGTCACGCCCATCTACTTCCGGTCCATGGGACCTTATTTCGGAAAAATAATGTATTGAAGTCAATGGAGAGAGAAAACGTATCTTTCGATCCCGTTTGAATTGTGCCATAAAATACACATATGATGTTTGTCAATCTTAAAAAATCATTTCCATGTCAAAAAAGTCACAGTTTGTCGTAAAACTGTTGAAATATAAGACTATGAAAAATAAGCAACTAGAAAGACTACAAATCCCAGTAGTCACACATCATGTGTAATTCGTGGCACAATTAAAACGGGATCGAAAATAATCTTTCGATCCCGTTTGAATTGTGCCACGAATTACACATGTTTGTCAATTTAAAAGATAATTTTGCAAGTCAAAAAAAAAAAAATGTGTCGTAAAACTGTGAAGTAACACATTTGTTTGTGTGAAACACTGAATGAACTACATCTCCGGTCTAGCAGAACAACACACGTCACCAAGATGGCCGTCACTACTATGATAACAACCTGGTACTAAGCACACAGGCATATTGTTAAAGTTATCTTATCTTAGCCAGCGCCATATAGATAGATTCTATCTGATCTTAGCTATCTCTTAGTGGAGGAAAACAGTTATGACATCACTTATGTGACTCTGGGATTTGTAGTCTTTC